ATACTCGTATATACGTGCTTGTTGTATGTATATTTGCAAATATAATCGTCTGAATGTTCACCTATAAATTTATTTGTACAATTTTTTTTTTGTTATGAGTAAATCTGTCAATATGAAATTTATCCTTGCTAGAGAAGAGCATGTTTTGCGTATACAAAATTTATGTATATTTTGTACCAAGTCTTTAATTTTCTTGTAAATAAATTTCCAAGGTTAAAATAACAGATTAGACAAAAAACAAAAACTATAGAAAAAAAATTACCTATATAAGAATGAAAAATGCAATTATAATTTTTTTTTTTTGTTAGGAATTTTTTTTCTAATGAAAAATTCAATCAATTTTTTTTTTGAATAACCTTCAAAAAATAAACAAATTGTGTTCTGATTTTCAAAAATATTTTCCAATTTAAAATGTAGAAACGTAAATTTTCTATATAAAAAATTCCAAGAGAATTTTCATAGCATAAACTCTTAAAGGACATTTTTTTTTTGAAATTATTATTCCTTAATAATTCTTTATTGGAATTGGACGCTTTAATATTCTAGAATTGAATTGAAGTTCAATATTCAAGGCAAATCCATATGACAAAGGTAAAGATTTTTTATTAAAATTATAATTTTATTGATTGCAAGGCTTATTATTCCTAATTTTCGTTTGAATTTTGTTCATTTTCTAATTTTGTAGTTGATATTTGAATGAAGCAAAACAATCAATCTAAGCTCTTGCAACAAAATTTAAAGCTAAAAGTAATCAAATTATTAAAACCAGTAGTTACTGTTACACAATCATTAATTCAGGTCTCATGAATTAAATTTAAATTCCGTAAATTTTTGCATTATCAAAAGTTTATTAAATTGCGCACGTCCAAACAAAATTGAACGCATGAAAAAGTACCTCTAATTTAGCATCACCACTTCAAAGGGAAAAACTGTGTACACAGACCTCCTTTTAATCCACATCTCCTATACCGCCTTTATTTTTATTTGGTGGCATTTAATTCAAAAATTTTAACATTATTGTTTTTTTTTTTTCATTTTAATCCTCTTAATTGGCTTAAATATACTTACTTAATTCTTGTAGCCGCCTCCTTATTTAAAAATAAAATATTATATCGGATTTTATATCCTGTGGTGAACTATTCAAAAATATAATTATACCGCAGTAATAAAATAGGTAAGCATATGTTATAACGATGCTGTACATGTGAGCTATTGTAGTATAACACGGTTTAACTTATACTAATTTGTTAACCACTATCACATTGTAGGTAGGTGTATGTACTTCATTCATATTTCTAGAAATCAATATTTTTTATTTTATTTTTTGCTAAATCATGCAATTCAACAGCTCGTCAATAATTTTTTACAAAATAAACAAAAAAAAAACATTAAAGAATGTGGGTTAAAAAAATGGATTAAATTTATATAATTAATGATTAAAAATTGTAACCATTAAAAAAAATGCAATTAGGTGGTCTTGCGGTTGTATTGTTATTGATAAGTATGATAAGTGTTTGCTATGAAATTGTTATAAATGATTCTATTGTTGTTGAGTAATAAAGCAGTACTTTGAAGAGAGAAAATGTGTAATGTTACATGCGGTACGGCGTTATATTGCAGATATGTCGGAGAGGTACGCCTAAAACGAGGATATGCTCGCAGAGGCCTGCTGAATGGGTAGCAATTCAATAGTGAGGTTGGGATATGTGACGAGTGTATTGTAACTATTGAGCTATATGTTCGTGAGTGCACCAGAAGGAATCTCAGAAGACATCCGACGTAATATAGATCCAGGGTCTTGACGTTGAGTCACAAGTTGAATACAAGCGTTTAAGGCTGATGCGGGTGGCCGTATACAGGGGAATTAGATAAACGGAAGAGGTGATGAGCTAGCTCGTATAGGGGCACAATTACTTAATTTATCGAGTCTGACGATGGTCCTTCAAACTATTAATAGCGGGATTGGCTAGTGCCTAGGAATGCCACTTTAGCTCTTCACGGAACAGAAGAAGGTTCAGATCCCGTTTAGCCGCACAGACCTTAGGGTGATTGTTAGGTAGCTCAGTCTATATTATCCACCATCATGGTTAGCCTGAAAAGAATTGCTATGGTGGTGAGTGAAGTATGTCGCTGAGGATGAGAGAGTAGAACATTTGCTTTGCGATTTCGAAGCTGCGGGTCGCTTAAGGTCAATTTGCTTCTGGATAAGTTTTTATCGAAATTTCGTGTTTAATAATGAAATTTTTTTTGAAGTTCAAAGGAAGAAGAAAATATTTAAAGTATACAAGTACTTTTATAAAATGAAAATTTAATAGGTTTATTTTTCTAAAAATAGTTAGTAAAACCCTTTCGGTAACTCACAAAACTAAAACTTTTACAATAATATTTCTTTGAATCAAAAAAAAAAAAATTAATATAAAAATTTCCCTTTGCAAAAATTCTCCCTACATAATATAGTAAAATAAATTTAAATACTAGGAATTCAAGGAAAATTGTGTTTCAGGACAAAGTTTACAGATTATAAAATTTAATGTTGGCATATTTTGTAATAAAAATTATTCCTAGAATGTTTTTGATTAGAAAGTGTTCTTAAATTACTGAATACTTTGTTTTTATTTTAAAACTATTAATATTAAAATACCAATAGTTCGACTAAAAATATGAGTAAGTATTGTAGGAAAAATCTAATATAAAAATGTTAGTATCATGAACGGTTTAATAGGGTTTCTTAAGCGTTCGGGAACTGCTATCCAACTCCCTTGGAAGTATCTCCGGCTTTATCTTTGGAGCGGAGATATGTTAGGTGGGGGCGTGAGGAGACTACAATAAGTCGCGAATACCTGCGATGGCCCGGAGGGAAACTCCTGCCCCATTCGATTTCCCTTAAAAATCTACAATCTAAAATACGAAATGACAACAACAAGACAACATCCACCCTAAAAAAATTTACATAGAATGTAAAATGAACAAGCTATTAACAATTATTTATTCGTTTACGTGTTTAAAAATTGTCATAATAGATTTGGAATATTTTTTCATATATATCGTAAATATAAAATTTACGAGATTAAATTAAAATTTTATTATATCTTATATTATTTAAAAAAATTCCACCATTTTATATAATTATCTAAATTGCATGTTATTTACTTAACTGTATAACAGTATATAACAGTGATTTGCAATAAATTTTATTATTATGACTTTTTAGTATATTAAATGAAATTCTTTTTTATAATCCATTCTGTCACAATATTATAAAAACTCCCCCTATAGTTGGATTTTGACCAACAGATTAAATTAAATTCAAACAATATGTTAATAATATTGAAGAGCTTCATTCTCAAGTACATAACTTACATATGAGTATTAAGTATTTTTTGAAGTACTTTTTGACAAGCTGCAAATTGTTACGGTATAATTTTCTCTCAATATAAAATTCATTTCTATTATACATACAATATAACATTAACCCTCATTTTCACTTCTCTCTACTCTTCTTCTTCTTAATTCTTTCATCACATTATAATTTTATATTCGCGTATATTGTACATACTCTTTCCCCTCAAAATGTTTATAAAATATTCATAAAGACGGAATTTTATCCCCCTTAATATTAAATTAATATATAAACAGTTAGAATTTATTAAAATCCAAATTAGAATTTTTGATTCATTATAAATATTTGAAAATCCCTCAGGTACATCCGATGACGACCATTAAATTTATTTATAAGAAAAATAATAAAGAAGAGTATGGAACTACATACCACACGCTTTTTAAATATCATTTTCTCTCTATTATATAAGAATTTTATATATTCTTATAATTCACAATATATCCGTTATATATGAGTACATATAAGGGGTTCGTGCCTATATGATATGAGCGCGTATGCTTCCAAGCATTTTATATTTATAAAAATACAAACACAAATGTAAAATTATCTACTACTTACAGCAGACCGTCTTATTCTTTCTAAATTTTTTTTTTTCTAATTTTATAACTCAAAAATAATGACAATATGTTTTCATTTTATGTCAAAGGAAAACACACGTACACACAAAATTTTGCGACCATGTTAATCAAATTTAATGAATGGTTTCTCCCTTTATTCACACATCTTCTTCTTATATATTTAGCCCTCACTTTATAGAAAAACTGATAGAAAAAAAATAAAGGGAAACTGAAATTTTGAATTAGAAAAAAAAGGACTTCTTAAAACATAGGCGGAGCATTAAAATAATGTTTTAACAAGGACCTTACATTTACCAGAAAAAAAAAATTAAAATAATCTTTTTAAAAGTTATACAATTACCATTCATTATTTCCTAAGCATTATACAGGAAAAAAAATGTGTGTATGCACAATAAGGATAACTAAGGGATGATCAAATTTATATTGTGTCTAAAAATGAAAAACAGTAAAGAATTTTTTTGGTTTCAAAAAACAAATATTAACGCTTCGATTGTATTATTTAAAGGATATTTGAATTTAACAATTTTGTTTCCTTTACGGTTTATAACAAAAAATTGAAAGCAGCAAAAGAAATCATAAACAGAAAAGGACTTCAATTATATTGTTTACCAATGAATTTATAATATAAGCAAGCAAGGGAATGAGGAATACCAGCAACAATTGCAAAATAACAAAATAAAAGCATTGAACAACAACAAAATTCTATGCATTACTGGTAACAATACTGAAAATATTAAATACAATAGGTTTAGAGAACCTTTTTTTTCAAAAATCCAAAATAATTGTAATTTGTTCCTGCATTTAGAGTGTATAGTAAATGGAAGGGATGAATGAAATTGCATTCAATTCAAATTCTTATGTTTCTCTTTTATATTTTCAGTATAAATTTCAATAAATTTACCAGGATCCTGTCAGTTGCTAGTTAACTATCGATCATATAACATATCGGATAAAAATCTATTAAAATTAAAAATAATTTTTTTTTCTTGATTATTTTGTAAAACACAACAGCATTTTCAATAATGTCGCGATCATTTCTAATGGATTCACTTTTAAGTGATATTTCACCGACAATTTCTATGAAAAAAGAAAATTTAGATAATATGAAAGTTGCTGCTGTTGCAGCTGCTGCAAATATTTTACCAATATTACCATATCCTGCTAGTTATGTTGGTAGTTATTTATTTTCACTTGGAATACAACAACAACAACAACACCAACAACAACAACAGCAGCTCCAACAACAATCAAAATTTGAATTAATTAATCATTATCAAAATAACAATAATAATAACAATAATAGTGCCAATATTGGATTTGAATTAAATCATAAAAGAAAATATTCATATGAATTAACACCACCACGTCGTGAAAGTTCAAATTTTAGTGATTATTGTACAACATCACCAACATCAACATCATCAGTAAATGATTATCCAGTTTTTGATGATTATAATCCAATAAAAAAATTTAAAGATTCTCCGCCATCATCACCAATTTCAAAAGAATCATCTTCAAATTTAATATTACCACCATCATCAAATTCATCACATAATCAACAACAGCAATTAGTTGCAATTGCACAAGATTATGCTGATTCAAGTAAAAGAATACGTACAGCATTTTCAAGTACACAATTATTGGAATTAGAACGTGAATTTGCTGCAAATATGTATTTATCAAGATTAAGACGTATTGAAATAGCAAATCGTTTAAGATTATCAGAGAAACAAGTTAAAATATGGTTTCAAAATCGTCGTGTTAAACAAAAGAAAGGACCATCAGATAGTCCAACATATCAAACATCTTATGGTAATGAAAGTCCAACATTATCTGAACAAAAATTTCATACAAATATAAATTGTAATAATTGTAGTAATTGTTCGGCGGCCGTCGGCAATGGTATAATTATTGCTGCCAATCATAGTAATAAGTCATTAACAAATCATTGTATAGAAAATTTGTGCTCAAATTCATAATAGAGTAGATTAGTTTTTCATTTATTCATAGGACACATTTTGGAATCTTAAATTTTGGATATTTGTGTATAAAATTTAAAATTAAAAAATATTTTCTTTAATATAGAGTCAAACATAAACCAGTTTAATTGTAGAAAATTAGATACTATTGTATTTAATGGAATATTTTTGTAAAGTTTTGGAGTGATTAATATTATATTTTTATAAAATAGCCTTTAATTATAAGATATTGTTAAAATATTCGTTAAGTATCGACTAAAAAATTAAATATTTTTATTGAAAAAGGAAATTAATTTGTCAGTTTTTTAATTTTTGATATTGCTAGATTAAAGGTATCAAAATTTTCAGCGAAAAAATCGGTGTACAGTGAGGCAAAAACTTGATATTTCAAGTAGAATTAGTGAATCGGAATTGAATCACCAACTTGAACAAATCTTAATAAATTTTATTAAAGTACAAACTTTTTATTATTTTAAATGAACTCGAACTAAAATTCCTTTATAAATTTACTTTTATTTATGTCTTCATTGTTGGCGCCCGAAAGGGGGGCATTTGATAATTGAAAAATTCTTTCTATAAAATTTATTAAAGAATTAATTTTGTTAATAATAGTTAGTTTCTGTGCTCAACAATAATTAGTTTCTGTGTTAGTTTTATCAAAAACTATGGCTATGGATGACCTCCAGCTCCGGGTTATTAATTATTTGGAATAATAATAATGGTGTTCTTTCTATCGAAAAATTCGTAACAATTGCTATGGTGTTTGCATGACTTTGTCAGAATAAATTGAAAAATTTTTTAATCCGTCGGCAATTTTTTTGTGCATCTTACTCAGTTATGAAATTTCTGATTTTTAAAAGAAAAGAAGTGTTTTAACTGAATAAAGGTTTTGGGAAAATATTATCTACGTTTGAAAAAAAAAGATATTTTTTGCCAAGAGTACCAAAATGAGTAAACTTCTGCGGAAATTGGTAGATTAGTCGGAGGATATGTCCTCTTGACCCATTCGGTTCTCTTGGAATCTACCAAACTTATGCTTTATAACTTGTTATTTATTTGGGCAACATCATGGTTCATTCTTATTTAAATCTTTCAAAGTTGTATGTTGTAGATTGTACATTATAGATCTACAAAGTTGTATGTTAGGTAAGCCTCTATCCGAAAATCGAACCGAAAAATTACTAAAAGTAAATTTGCTGCTTCACATATTCTAAATTAGGGAGGTCCTCTTTTATGTTAACTGTGTACTCGTATTATGATAAAACACGAATTTTAATAACGTTTTTGAATGTTTTGTCAAAACTTTCCGATTATTCATTATAATGTTGAATCGCATGATGAAATACATTGCTACCACCCGGTACTAAATTTCTACAGGAATTTTGCATTTCTGGTTTTATGTAGGTATAATATTCTTCCTTGTGTGTTAATTTTATGTATATAATTTTATGAGTACGCCGAAAGAAAGTCCTTTGCATGACGGTACCCCTGTTCTCTTATGCCGATTCCATAAGTGCAGCAAGGCAGCCCCAGACCAGCTTAGATGTAACCTGAGTTGAACGAGCGCCAGCAGTGAAGCCCTGCTGTACAAGAACACATATATGGTGCGGTTTCTATACCCCCTTTCTAAATTGATTCTCCGGGTGAACACCGTATACACCCGAACTCACACCCGACTCCGTCTCGGACCCGCCCGCATACCATACGCTCGAACCCGACTCAAGTACCGGGCCACCCCGATCCCACGCCCATCGATCGGGAAACAGAACCCTGTACTTGACAGGTATCGGACATGGTTATTCCTAGAATCGGATCGCTCTCAAGGAAATCTCTGTTAGTCCTGTGGGCCAACTTTAGCCCCACCCTGCCCTCGCCAGAGAGAGGTCGGTAAGTCACTAGCCGAGCTTCCTTCAATATATGGAGGTGCAGTGGCGGAAACCCAATCGTCACTTCCAATGCAGTGGTAAGAGCCGCCCGCATTGCCCCAGTCACTCCCAGGCAGGCCAGCCTATGTAGCTTTTCCAGCTTGGCCCACACACCCGCTGAACCTTACGGCACCACAAAATCGACGCGTAGATGGGCCTAACAAGGGCCGTATATAGATACAGTGCTATCCTGGGACTGATCCCCCAGGTCTCACCCATGAAGCTCCTACAAGTCCACAAGGCGGCCGTAGCCCTCTCGATAACTCCATCTATATGGGTATTCCAAGAGAGACGATCATCCAGGGTTACCCTCAGATACTTCACCTCCCTAGAGTAACTAATACGTTCACCAAACAGAATTGGGCTCGTTAATTTATCCCTGCTTCTGCGTCTGGTGAAGGCGATCAAAGTGCTCTTGCTTGGATTTATATTTAACCAAACGCCTTCGCACCACCTTTCCACAACACATAAATTTTGCTGTAGAAGATCAGAAATAGTGCTCACAAATTTTCCTCGTACGACGAAGGCCACATCGTCGGCGTATCCCCAGACACGTGCACCGGAGCCCCTGAGAGCAGCGATTAAATCATCTACTACAATAGACAACAGAAGGAGCGAAAGAAACTCCCCTTGCGGACACCCTTTTGCAGCGGAGATGAAAAGTGTATCGTCAGCTGTGGTATCCAGAGCGAGCACAGTAGACGTTCCCGACTGATAGGCGTACTGAGACTCATGCAAGGGATTGCTTTCTAGTGCATTGTCACGTATAAATCTATCAATCATTTTTTCTACTGCTTTCAATAGAAAAGAAGTAAGACTGATTGGACAGAAAGACCTTGGGTGGTTGCTTAGTAGTTTACCCGCCTTCGGAATGTACGTCACTTAAGCCACCCTCCATGCCTGATGGATGTAACCCCACGCATAGCTGGCACGAAAAATTTCCAACAGTGCTCTAGCAATATCTTGGAAACCCACCTGGAGATCGTCATCACCTGATGAACATCGTCATCACCTGGAAATTTGAAACGCCTTAAAGAGAAAACAGCCCATCTGATCCTGCCATCGTGAAGACCAAACGGGATCGGTGCCAGTTATCCTTCCTGGGCCAGGATGCACTCGGTTCAATTACCACACTTGAGTGATTCCGAAAAATCTTCGAGTCAGGAAAGTGCGTTGACGCCATAAGCTCCAATGTCTGCTTTCCGTTCTCAGTCATGGAACCATCGGGTCGCTCCATTAGGCCCAACCCGCTAGCATACTTTTTGAGAAGCACTCTGTGAAGACGCGCACTGCTGGAGAGTTCATCAATGTCCTTGCAGAACGCCCTCCACGAAATTCTCTTCGCTTTCCTAATTTCCTAAGCCTTGAAAGCTCTTCATTCCACCGTCATTCATAATTCTGACATAAGCAGGAATGGATCCAATCCCATCCATGAGCAGTGTTTCGAATTAACTCCAACTTGCGGATTGGGGCACCCGATACATTTCTTCTGCCAGGCCCCCGGAGACCATGATATCAAACCTAATCTGCCTATGATCGGACATGGATGTCTCATTTGAGACATGCCATCCACCAACCCTACTGCCGATAAACTCAGTGCAAAGGGTGATGTCAAGGACCTCTTCCCTAATTGTTTTTATGAATGTCGGCCTATTGCCCTCATTCATAACCATTAATTTATTGCTATATATAAATTCAAGTACGACTGTTTATATTACTGCGTCCGCAGACGGTGTGATGGGCATTGGCCTATTATCACTTCCTATTATCAGTTGGAAATTTCTCCTTCCACAAAAGTCCACTAGATCTTTGTAGTAGATTTATCACTTACTTGAGACCTGCTGTTTTTCTGAAAATTCCTGCTATTCTTCCGCATATTTTTAATACTTTATCAACACGTCGAGTTTAATTCACTATCGAAAAATTTATTAGAACCTGATTCTTTTTGCTTATAAGTGGAATGAGACCTTTGTTTGAGTATATACATAGCCTGTATCGAGATCCTGTTTCCTCAATTGTCTATGCCAGCTTAAGGCAATGTTTTATTTCATCATATTATATTTGGTAGGTTGAAATGACATTCACTAAATTAATAAAGTCTTAGGGTTTCTTCTGACAAATTTTCGGTTTTATGTGTTTCTAATCTGAATTCAGTGTTGGTTTCTCCGTTCTTTCAAAATCAAAAATTTATTTTCACATTAACATTTTTATTGTGATTTAATATTAAATTTTGACTTAATTTTTAATCCATAAACAACATGCTACCTTTTGAAATTCACTTCAGACATTGTGTCTCCTAAAATAAAATAAAGTTTCCATAATAAGACTAAGAGACTACAAAATAAAAAATTTTTCTTTTATTTTTTGTCTTTAAAAGAATCACACCTGATTTTAATACTTTAAGAACAAAAGATTTTTTTTTTTGCCTTTTTAGCTCCTAAATTTTTTTTTTGTTATAGCTATGAATTACCCAAGAATCATATCGTAAGACTGTACTTGTTGTATCCTCGACAAAATTTCTATTAAATAACAATTAACAATAAATCTTTTTAAAAATCCAGTATGAAAATGAAAATTTAGAAAGATAAGGGAACAGCAGTAATGCTTATCCCAAAACCTTCTTAAATTATTCCCATAGGTACAACTAATTTTCGATTTCAATGAGAAAAGGTAAACGTTTTTGTTTTTTTTTTTTTATTAAGAAGAGTAAAAATGTTTATATGGAAGAAAGGAAGAAGAAACTTGTTTATGAAATTTTTGCAAAAGGAATCTCTTAACGGAGTATATTAGAAAATCATTGAAACTACTTGACCTTTAAGAATCTATCTGGTTATAATGGAAAAAATATAACATGAATGAAAGGGAATTTTCGCAGGTGCTTTGTCTATAATATTACAGATTTTAAATTATTTGAAAAGCAAGGTAGGTAAACGCATTTTTTCCACTATAATCAAATCTATTTGAGTGGCACCCTAAGGAGTACTGAAGTTTCAGAAAGTTTTGTAAATGTTTTTTAAAGTATTTTTATTTTCCATTTTTGTTTTTCAATAAGAAATCTTTAATATGCACTTGAAT